TCACATGCCACTAATTAGGAGTAATCTGAAAAATACATCAAAATAACTATAACCACAACCAATTGACAAACAAGACTAATACAATAATTTGCAAGCCTCCGTGATTATAATACTTGGCCAACATAAGGCCCAACCTACCCAAAATCTATAAACAATAAAATAAGTAAATCTATGGTACTCTGGCAATCCGTGGAAGAAAGATATAAAGACATCACGGGAATATGTTTTGCTACTCGATAGACCTGTATGATCGACATTCAGGATCTAAAGACAAGAATGCAGTGCCCCCAGACAAAGGAACATCTACACAAAATTATGTATCTAGCATGAAAGTTGGCATTAAAGTATAAGGAGTGAATGGAAAATGCAAGGGTGAAATGAAAGTAAAACACCTTACCTATCTATCTATAACGAGACAACAGATAAACGCATAACAAATAATAACTTGAGCTTGCCCGATAGGTATAATCAATGGACAATCATCATAAGTCCCAAAAAGTATTAAAAAAAATCGTTAAATACCTCTATTAGCCCCCTACATTAACCCCAATGATCATGTGAACTTAACTAAATTTGTAGGTGTTGTGATTCAATATGGATCTTAGGTCCGTGGTATAATATAGTTGATGCCTCATAGGTACAGCTTGCTCACCCTGTAGGTATAGTCTTCTCGATCGGTATGTAGGCTTAATTTAGTTTCCTAGCCAATAAGATTGGTTTTCCCCACCCGTAGGCTCGTTGTATCAATCAATATATAGACTCATAATTTTATTTCTGCATAAGCCAAAACATTCTCATGAGTAGTAGACGATAAAAATATCACAATAATAATAGATAATCATAAGCAACCTCAACACATCTTAACATGCTTTTCTTGGTTGTTCAGTTAGGACTAAAGTACTACTGATAGAAACTATATGATGTTGTTATAGCCAAATAATAATGCTCAACTATACCTCACAATTAATTAAGATATAGACGGTTGTATATACAAACAATACTCAATTTTATAAATCAAGGTCGAATCCACAAGGATTGATGAACAAAATTACTTACTATTTGTTCATAAATTCAATCTAGCGGGCACATTGCAATAATGACAAACATATAAAATAGGGGAAATTGTAACAAGGGAATAGTTTCAATTGTGAAAATTACTATGCAAAACGAGAGGGAATTTCTCAAGATTAGAAAAGACTAGGAATGTGTGCAATTCAATGGGGTTTCAAACTTGCTAGATAATGACTAACTAGTCTAGAACCAACCATTGCTAACCTTTTTCTAAAAATAATATTCAAAGTTCTCTCGACCCAATGAATATGTCTTTCTTGGGTTTTTCTAAACCCCAAGACCTTACAATTCAAATCAAAAAATTTAGCTTCAGTGGGTATAGACTATCTCTAGTTCTAGCCCTTAAATGAAAATTCAATTGAATTTAGACCATCTCTAGCTCTAATCTATTGATTAAATCTCAAGTCCTTCTTATTGAAGTCTTACCCAACTTCACTTCCTTTTCTCAAGAAAAGGTAAAATTAGAGAATTCAATTAATGTTTGCAACCATTAATTTTTAGATTAAATCTCGAAGACAATAATAAATCCATGCATAATAATCAATTCTAAGACTATTTAGTCACTACCTAATCAAGTTTACACACCCATCATGTGCACACACACCCTAAAAAATAGTTTAGCTACTCATAATAAAGGAAATGAAAGTCAAAATAAAGTAGTAATACTTCGTTGTATTCATATTCAATAGGAAAAAAATATTTCCAGTTTTATTCTTCAATAAATAAAGTAAAATATATTATTTCTCTACCACAATATTCTACAATTTCTAATACCCCAATTCGAGAAGAAGAATATAGCCTATAATTGCTATATCTCCAAATTGACCTTAGAACCTTCTAAAGAACATTCTTTTTCTCATGTATAAATTTTCCCTTTTTGTTTCCATCAGCTTCACTTGCATTTCGCAAGTTTTAAGTCTGATACATACAAGTGCAACAACAATTTCATTCCAGACTTACTCAGTTGAGCATGATCTGACCTAAATTTCCTTCGATTAGCATTAAAATATGATAATAATTCATGTTTAAGAGTCGAATAAGTTGATAAAATACCAATTTATCACTAACTTAATTGAATAACGCTACAATTAATATAACGCAAATATACAGGTCATATAACAAGCTTAGCCCATCAGGATCAAACCAAAAGAGGAATTAAAGTCTTAATGTACCTTCAAATAGAAACCTCGAGGTGTCCCTATAATGTTTGACCACATAATTGTAATACAAACCATGTTAGAATCAACGAGGCTACAAGAGTGAGTCATAATTAATCGATAAGGCGTTAAGGTCGTTCTTAGGACCAACTCACTTTTTCTCAGCAAACAACATCAAAATATCTATTAAACCAGCAGCTAAGAACAAGAACATGAAGCTATCAACCTCTTACAAGAGCGGCAAGCAGGGGCGGAGCTATAGTGTTAAATGGGGGTTCGGACGAACCCACTGGATTTTACGTAGACCGTATATACGTACTAAAAAATCATGTACAAATATATTTAAATATTGTGTGCGAACCCACATCAAACTGAGGTGGGTGGCGTAGTGGTAAACGCGGGCAACTTTGATTCTTGGGATGGCGGTTCGACCCCCACTGGCAACCATTCAATTTTACGGATTTTTTAATTTTGGATTAAAAATGTGCTTTGTGCCTATTTTTTACCCTCCTTTAATTCAATTTTGATTTTTCTAAATTCTTTTTCAAATAATAAAATAGAAAATTGATAATTGAAAATAAGAAAAAAAGTAGTGTCATACTCCAAAACAACAATGACTATTAGTTTCAAAATAGATAATTGTAAGTAACAAAAATACAGTGTCATACTCTAAAACAACATCTCACTATTGATTTCTTTTGAAGCATTCAATAAAATGTTAAACCCAAAATATATATTTTTTTAAAGTTAGGGTTCTAATTTTTACTACCTACTTCATTGCTACTGCTTGTTGTCAAAGTGCAGGCCTCTGCCCCGGTAAGTACTATTTACTCTTCTCAGTTCCTCCTCGGCTCTCCCTTTTCTCTTTCTTTTTTTTATTTGTCTTTACATTGTATAACAATTTATTCAAAGATCTTATTTTTAATCTTTGATATTAAGATTGTTCCACGTATTAATAATTGATTATATTAATTAAGTTATTGTTTGCTTCTCGGAACTTCAACTTTCAAGGCAAGAGTGGCTCAAGGGTGAAGCAAGTAAAACCTTCCCTTTAGGGCCCAACAACATTAATGGTGAATTTAATAATTTTAATTTTACTTAAAACAATATTGAGATTATAGAAAAAAAAATGTTCAAAAGTTATACTAAAATAAAACACTTATCTACCTTTTACCAAATAATATTTTAGAACTTTGAAAATAAATAACTCAAATCTTCATATTAATAAATGCAGTATTTGAAGTGTACCAAATGATGCATCATTTCGATTTTCAAAACATAACAACTTGTCGAGTGCAATTTTAATGATATGTTTATATGTTTGTGTGGTTATATATATATGTGTGTGCGTGTGTGTGTGTGTGTTTGTAATTTAACGATTGTTATATTAGACTAATATGTTGTTTTGTTTTAAAATTTAAAACCCACAAACATCAAATCTTGGCTCCGACTCTGGCGGCAAGGTTCCAAGATAATATAACAAGGTGTACTTCACGTTGTTTTAATTGATAACCTCCATATGTGAATCCGGAAAGTGGCACATTTATCTCCAATATATATATAAAAACTCACAACAACACAACGATTAGGTTGTCTAGAGCCACGTCACTCAAATGCCTCTTTATGGCTTAAAAATGATAAAAATGACGTAAAACATAAAAATTCGAGGGAGATAATTGGTAGAAACTTACTTTAATCAAAGTATTATATTTATCCATCACAACAAACTGCCTCAAAGGTTCAACATCATCTAGATGATACAACTCTAAGAAAATGCACCAAAATGAAGCTCATGTCGTAGGAATCGATTTACAACTCTAAGTCATGAGATTTTAATCAAAGTAGATTTAGAACATTATATCTCACACATTTATACAACTTAGAAAAACATATTCCAAAGGAAAACCCTTCTACCACAGAGAAAAATGATAAGAAATGGTAGAAAATGTAGCTTATGACGAGAATATTTTTCCAAACTTGGACCAAGGAAAAATCAAGCTATAAGGTCTTTTCTTACTTTATAAGAAAAAATTATGACAACTAAAAATTTAAAATATCTCATTTTTAATTAAATTTTGTGTATAGTTTAATGATTTAATAATTTAAAATTATGGAATATATGAATAAGTTGGTGGTAGATGTGACTTGCTTAAGAGAATATTTAATTAGAACGAAAAAAAAAGGAGTTACAATTTGAGAAACAATAACTTATTTGTTTTACTTTTTATTGTTTTTTAACTCTTTAGTTCTAATTTTTCATATGATATGTTTAAGATTATAAAAATAAAAAAATATTTTAATTATTTTACATATTTTTAATTTAAGTTAAAAAGTTTTTAAAAAAATTACTTTTTAAAAATATGACATAAATGAACAAAATTTAAAAAAAAAAAAAAGAAGAAGGAAAGTGTATTTATACCAAAGTTTCTGCGTACCACACACTTGAGGATGCCAAGTTCAAATAATTACTCATTTTATACAGCACGCGCATAAAGTAATACATACGCACAAACGTCAAAGTCTCCCAACTTATTTGATTTTAACACAAAATTAAAATAAAAAAAGAAAGAGTTTTAAAATTTATAATTTAAAATAAATTATAAATATTTATTTAGATATAAATTATTTTACTAAAATTAAAATAAATATTTTAAAATTAAATTGTTACCGAATAGAAAAAAAAAATTGTCAGCACAACCAAAATGGGATAGAAGGAGTACTATTTTAAATATCTTTTTTTCTTCAAATCTTTTCAGTTAGCAATTTCGCTTCAAACACTTTTTCTCACAAAAACTTTGAAAATTATGGAATCGGAAGCTTCATCGTGAGTGTTTCTAACTTTTCCACAACTTTATTAGAATTTTATGCAATTTGAATTTTCTTTCACTTAATTAAAGGGAACTCATGATGCCTGCAGGTTCGAGTCTAGTGAGACTTTGGCAGCTCTTGTGGCATCGACGCCGTTGCTGGAGGAGTCATGGAAGGTTTGTGGCGTCGCCGATGCATCGGTCGATAGCAATTTCGCCGTCAATCGAGTTGGTGGGACAGCCTATGTGGGATTCTCCGGCGTAAAATTGGGCACCAGAGTGGACCAAAGTTGCCGGAATTTAGTGCCGCTTCCGGATGAACTTTTCTCTTCGTTGTGCTTGGATGGGGCGGATCCGGCAATGGTCCATGCCGGATTATTGCAACTTTTTCAATCAGTTTACAGCGACAATTTATTCCGTGATCAGGTTAGAAGTATTTTCATGAGCATTTAACTTATTGGGATTTTATATTCTATTCTACTAGTAGTAACAAAGAATTTTCAATTTACTTCTTTCCGTTCACTTTTACTTGCCGCTTATTTTTAAAATAGATTTTTATTGATTTCTCTCTATCTTATTTATATGACTTACTTTCTTTTTTAGTCGGTCTTAAAAAAATGACACATTTATATATTAAATAATAATTTTACTTTAAAATATTCATTTTAATGAAATGACTTATAGTCACACAAATTTTTATCATTAATTTTAGACCACAAGTTTTTTTAAAAAAGAATCTTTCTTAAACTCTATCGAATCAAACTATCTCATATAAAATTAGACGTATAGAGTAATTTTTTGCCATGTCTTATCCTTAATATTAAATATACTTATTTTCTAATCATTTTTCAAGACATTATTTAATACGCATAGTTTGATACAATATTCATATCAATACTTATTTTTTTAATGCATGTGTTAAATCAAAGTGTGACAAAGTAAAATTGAAGGAAGAGAGTATGTTTTTTGGGCATAAAAAGGAACATTTATTCCCTTTATTTATTTTATCTCAAAACTGAACTTCTTAGGGGAAAAAACATTGAGACTCTCAAAAAGTTACTTTCCTAATTTACGTGGACTTTGACATACAATTTTAAAATATGTCAATGATTTACTTAAAGACAAAAATTAAAATTAAATTATTTATAATTATAAAAAGAGGAAATCATTTGCGTAAAAAGAAGGAAGCTACTAATTTTAATTTTTAGTGGCATATCCATTGTAACAACTAAGAAGAAAAGCATGAGTAAGTTCCACAACTTAACAATTCTAAAAGCCAACAAGTCTCCATAGATGTCTATTGACTCGTGACTTTTGACTAGGACGTTCAAGTTTGAACATTTCAAAGCCCTAATTATGACTCCCTCTTTTATCCTCAATTCATTTCAAAATGAGTAAATTATCGAGAAAATGCACATTTATTAAACGGAAAAGGGTCAAAATTGCTCCTAAATTATGCGAAATAGACCACTTATATCCTTCGTTACCTTTTGAGATAAAAAATGTCCCATCATTATCCTAAGAGTCCATAAATACCCTCAAGAGTAAGCACCCCAAATTTTTAGTGACGTGGCAAGCCACATGGAACTAATCCCTCCACCTAAGTGTTGCCAACTAGATTCACTACAAAAGAACTAGACCTTTAGTGGCGACAAGTCGCCACAAAAGCCCAGAATATCGTCACTAAAAATTTTAATTGATTTTTAACATTAAATTCTAATTTTGTGTTTATTTTCATTATTTTAAAAAAAAACACAGATGGTATCAATCAAGACACAATATGTTTTATTTTTATGTCATATGTAAATGCATAAAATGTATGATGATGCATTATGTAATAGGAGATTTGAATTGAGAAGTAATTTTGATCATTTTCGTAATCATATTCGATGTTTTTAAATATTGATAGTGCATGTTATTTATTTTAGAAAATTAGGTTGCAACCGAAAATTAATTATCATAATTTTTTGTTGAAAAAATATGTTATCCTAGGGAATGGTTGTTGCTGCCTTAGTAGCCACTAAAAATCACTCATAACTTTTAGTGGCAATATTTTGGGATTTTGTGGCGACTTTTATCGCCGCTAAATGTCTAGTTCTTTTGTAGTGAATCCCTGTTGACAACGCTTAGGTAGAGGAATTAGTCCCATGTGGCTTGTCACATCACTAAAAAATTGGGTAGTTAACTCTTGAGGGTATTTGTGGTCTCTTGGAATAACGGTCGGGGTATTTTTTATCCCAAAATGTAATGGAAGGTCTAAGTGGTCTATTTCGCATAGTTCAGGGATATTTTTTATCCTTTTCCGTTTATTAAAAAAAAAGTTTAGGATATAATTAATTGAATATATCCTTCGGGGTAGCCCAGTGGTTTGGACTTGGGACTTCTATGTTGGAAGTCTCAAGTTCGAAAACTCTTGTCAGTGAAAGCAAAAAATTGCCTTCTGAGTCGAGCTCGTCGCATTTTGAATTTTTGAATTTTGAACAATTCACTTACTCCTTCCGTTCCTTTTTATGTCACATTTTTAGATTTCACTTCTATTAAGAAACTAAGGGTGTGTTTGGTAGGAAGGAAAATGTTTTCTTGGAAAACAAGTGGATTTCTAACTTATTTTCTCATGTTTAATTGGTGAGCAGAAAATATTTTCTGAAAAATATTTTTTAATGTTTGGTTAGTGATTGAAAAATATATTTCAAAAAAATATCTTAGATTTTTAGCTTGAGACTAAAAAATACTCCTTAGGAAAATAATTTTTGATATGAAAATCAACCCCGATAATTGATTTAGGACCCGACTCGACACCCAAACTAGGACAAGACTGTTCCAAAATCCGACCCTGAGATCTGACCAAGGACCTGACCCAAACTTCCGACCCAGGAAAGGTTTATTCAAAAACAATTTTTTTTTTAAAAAAAATATTTGACGGGCTCGCGAGGGGGAGGGGGCGGCATAAAAAAATGATGTTTTTAAAAATTTGAAATATTTTTCAAAAACAATTTCTTAAAAGAAAAAATTTGTTGGGGTGGCCTGGGTGGGGTGGGGGTGACTGCCGACCACCCCACTCACCAACCTCTTATAGTATTTGTCTAGATTATATATAAACAATTTTAAGATAATATTTTTTACATACATATCAAACACAAAAAAATAAAAGTAAGGAACTCAATATATTTTTTTCACGAAAAACATTTTCCCTCATACTAAACACACCCTTTTATCATGAGTATTTATTATATATATATTCCACCTCTTTTAATTTGATCACTTCAGTGTTAATGAAATATGCATATAATATAGGAAATCATTCTATTAAATTCACTTATCATGGTAATGTGCAGATTCTGTGACTATTTGTTTTGTTGAAAATGTGCAGATGGTAGAAATAATGAACACAAGCAAGTCAATAGTCATAACAGGACACTCAATTGGAGGAGCAATTGCATCCCTCTTAACTCTCTGGCTTCTCTGCCGTCTGCAAACTATTTGCTCTGTCATTTGCATTACCTTTGGCTCTCCAATGCTTGGCAATGAGTCCTTTTCCAGAGTCATTCTTCAAAAAAGATGGGCTGGACATTTTTGTCATGTTGTTTCACAGCATGATATTGTCCCAAGACTGTTCTTTTCCCCATCATGTTCTTTCCAGTTTATTTCTGAGGAAAACAAGACTCAGCTTTTCCGCGTTGTGTTGGATTCTCTTGGAGTTGTATCAAGAGGTGAATGTAAGAGTTCATTTTGTCCCTCTGGGAGCTACTTGTTCTGCACCAACAATGGTGCAGTTTGTGTCGATAATGGGATGGTTGTCATTAAGTTGCTTTACTTGACCTTACTGAATGGCTCGCAAAGTTCTAGCCTTGAGGATCATCTTGGTTATGCTGATTTCATTCGGAAAGTTCAGTGGCAATTTATAGAGAATAGAAGCTTCATGGGAGGCAATATACCGGAGTCGAGCTATGAAGCAGGGATAACATTGGCACTGGAGTCATTAGGAATAGCTTCTCATGTAATGTCGTCAACCTTTCTTATTAACTACCTTCATATACCTAGTAATGTTGCGGAGCAGTTTTCATCAAGAAAGAGCAATGTATGCATTATTGGTACAATATAAACATGCATTGATACTCGTACCTTGCTCCAAAGGGATGAAAATTGTTCTGCTATTGTTGGTATTAGTTTTTGTGAGGTTCGTGTCTCTATGTTGATTTCCCTTATTTTTAGATTTCTATCACTACTTGTTGTTTCGCCTCGATATCTGATTATCTTGCTGTTGATTATGTTTGTTGCTATTGCCTATTTTCACTGTTTGTTCAGCCGAGGGGTCTTTTGAAAACAACCTCTCTACACTCTCAAAGGTAGGAGTAAGGTCTGCATACACACTATCCTCCCCAGACTCCACTTGTGGGATTACACTGATTTGTTGTTGTCATATCTCTATGTTGATTCTCATTTGCTGAGATATCTGTGCAAGAGCTAGTCTAATGATTTTGCTTCTTTGACAAACAGGAATTGAATTCCGAAGATGCTAAGGAAGCCCTGAAAAAGGCAAAAAAGTTGGGTCGAACTCGCAACCTCAACAGCGCCAACCTTGCAATTGGTTTATCCAAAATCAATCCATTCAGAGCACAGATAGAGTGGTATAAAGCATCTTGTGACAATTCTGTTGAACAAATGGGATATTACGATTCATTCAAGCAAAGAGGTGCCTCGAGAAGAGATTTTAAGGTCAATATGAACAGGATCAAACTTGGTCAGTTTTGGGATTCTTTGATTGACAAGTTGGAGGCTAATGAACTGCCGTATGATTTTCACAAACGTGCAAAGTGGGTAAATGCTTCTCAGTTCTACAAACTCGTTGTCGAGCCACTTGATATTGCAGAGTACTACAGGACTGGGATGCATCTTGTGAAAGGCCACTACATGCAGCATGGAAGGGAGAGAAGGTACAAGATTTTCGATAAGTGGTGGAACACTGAGAATGGCACTGATCATCCTACTGCAAGGAGCCGGTTTGCAAGTTCTACACAAGATTCATGCTTTTGGGCTCAGGTTGAGGAGGCAATAGACAGTCTTATTAAGGTAAGAGCTGAAAGCGATGCAAGAAAGTTTATCAAGATGTTGGAAGATGTCACAAAGTTTGATCAATATGCTAAAAGATTGATCGAAAATAAGGAGGTTTCGCAAGATGTTTTGGCCAAAAACTCAAGCTACACTAAGTTAATAGAGGAATGGAAGGATTTCCAGTCTCAGTTACAGCTGCTCCAACCTCAGTTTCCTTGAATTCTTTAAGGTAGAAAATAGCTTGAGGATTGTTGGTCTATTTAGGGCATTAATCTCTATATATAGCAATAAAGAAGCTCAACTTAAACATCTGTTATTTTTCCTCAAGAAAAACATATATGAATTATAATTGGGAAAATGCATAAGTACCCCCCAGCCTATACCCGAAATCCCAGAGACACACCTAATCTTTACTAAGGTCCTATTACCCCCCTGAACTTATTTTATATATAATATTCTACCCCTTTTTGGCCTACGTGGCACTATCTTGTGGGCCCAGCGCATGTTGACATTTATTTCAAGGATAGTGCCACGTAAGCCGAAAAGGGGTAGAATATTATAGATAAATTAAGTTCGGGGGGGTAATAGGACCTTAGTAAAGGTTAGGTGTGTCTCTGGGATTTCGGACATAGGCTGGGGGGGTACTTATGCATTTTCCCAATTATAATTAGATGATCTACTCCAAGAATTAAGAGAAATTCTAGAGGAACTAGAACTTGCATATTTCAAATAAGTGTGTTCATTGAGTTATAAATTGTGAAAACAAAAAGGGTATACATGTTGCTAAGGTTTGTTACATCTACCAGAGTGAACTTATATAATATCATGCAATAGGAGGAGCTAAAGTAGTCACATAACCTAAAAGGCAAGTGCTACCACGGTTTATGTTAAAGTGGTAAGAGCACAACTCATAAGGTACACATCATGAGTTTGAACTCTACGATGATCAAAAGCTTGAACACAAATAGAAGTTTGAGTCAAATTATTCATCGACTCGACCCATGGATAGGAAATGAGCTAATGTTGATGGTTACTCAACTTTGCTTAGTTAGTTTCAGTGGTTATTTTAATTTCCGGTGCCTATTAGAATCCAATTCATCATGAACCCAACTCAGTTTTTTATCCGACTAGTTTAATGAGTTGACTATATGAAAGATTTAGTTTTTGTTATCTCCTGTATTCAGGTTAGGAAAAACAGAAACAGGAAAAGGATGAAACAGACAGAAAATAAAAAACCGAGTCCACAGAACCCACTGTGTTTACTTAAGAAATTTAATCCCCTCAAGTATCCGAGGTTACAGATTAATTCCTCCCAAGATAAAACGGATTAACTATTAGAGAAGTAGCGGTACCTCAAACTTCACTAATTTCAGCGAACGCAAGAACAACAACGAGAGCACACACAGACTCAGTTGATCGACAATTTTATTTTTGTAAGAAAATGTATGCAGAGAGGAAAAAATTTCAGTGTTGAAAAACGGAAAAAGACTCTATTTATAGCCACTTGCAACAAGGAACGCGTTTGTTCAGACATGTCTTTCTAGAACGTTGTGTCTTTTGGGGAAAAAAACGTATTTTCGGAAGGAACAGGTCCCTTCATATGATGTTACCGTTACGCATGAATTTCAAATAATTTTGTTATGCGAAATTAAATCGGTTAACTAATTAACATTCTGAATTAATTTTCAAGAGAAAGGAAATTACTTAATGAGATTGATAAAATAAATTTTGTCAAAAAATATTATCAATCAATCACCAAATCCAAAGCCGAGCAACAACGGCGCGAGGAGGCACCTTCTTCTTAACTCTTTAAGAACTAAAAGAAGTGTTTCCTAATATAATGACAACAATTTTCCTTACTTTTACCAATATGGGAGAAATGATTTTTCATTTTCAAAGACTTTTCATTTGAAATGACTTTTCATTTTCCCTCCAAATTGGTTCCCCCACTTTTTTCATTTTCCTTTCTTATTTCTCATTCACACCTTGCTAAAACTCAACAGTTTTTTAATGCTAGCAGTAATTTATTTAATGCGAAATGATCTGGAAGACCCTTGTACTTGACTCTGTTTGTAAGTTGGACCCTCCTACTTATCAATTTGCCAATTGAACCCCTAAACTCATCAGAATGTAATATTTTAAACCCTTTTTTCATCGACTAGTGTGTGTGAAGTTCAATTGCTTACACGTGAAATTTCATGTCATTAAAAATGACATGTAAGAAATTACATGTTAAATTTTTTTAAAAAAAATCAAATAACCATGTTCTTCATATTTATTCCAAATTGAACACTAAATTCATGTCAAATAGGTGAGATTTTTTCCATTTGACCTGAAAATTCAAACACAAGTTCACCACCATAAATCTAACTAATCTCAATCACAATTTTGAATTAATTTCACAAATTCACAAGACCCATTTGTTATTTTTCAAGCTTTCTCTAACATAGCAATGGAGTTTTAATTTTTCAATATCCACCATTATCCTTCGTGTTAATCCATACTTAAACCTCTTTTTTGAAGCCTAAAATAACAATAATAATCTCAATACTTTTAGACTAAGTAGTTGGGGTGGGCGGCTGATTTGTAGTGAAAAAGAAGTGTGGGTTGAGAAGAAAGTGGATGAAGGAGAGAATGAAGAGGAGGACAGTGGGTGTGGTGGATGAAATTCCAAGAAGAAGAAGAGAGAGGGGGGCTGGGGACGGAGGAGAGGGGCGTGGGGGTGGGGTGGGAGAGGGATGGTTGAGGAAGATGAGTTTTTAATTATTTTAAAAAAAACTGATTATTATAATTATTATTTAAATATTTTTACTATAAAATACCTTATTTACTTGTTGTCAAACGCGTGTAATCACGTAATTTTCCAACTCAGCATTATCAATGCCACATAAGTTTGGGCAATGGTCAAATGGGTTTAAAATATTGTGTTTTAATGAGTTTAGGGGTTCAGTTGGCAAATTGATAAGTAGGAGGGTCCAACTTACAAACGAAGTTAAGTACAAGTACAAAAGTCTCCCAAATCATTCCGCCTTTATTTAATCCATGTAAGTAAATTTATACAAATTAAAAGTGCTAACAAGTAGCCACTCTTTGGTAGCATTTGAATTTGATTTTTGGTTTGGATTTTGGAGATAACTGGTTATTATTTGAAAAATAATACGAGTGTCTGGAAAAGATTTGAAAGAATTATATTGGAAAATTAGTTCCTTAGAAAAAAGTAGCATAAAATCTTAAGACTTTTATAAATGCTTTTATATAGGTGAATATTGATAAATAGCTAGCTAAATGTCTTTATTTTTTAATAAACACAAGAAAAATGAAAAAAAGAAGTTCCAAGTTAGTTCTGAAAATTATTTTTCATATTTATAGCTTGATTTAATATAATGTAACTTTATAAAGAGCACTTACTATAAAAAAAAAATTATATTTCTAAGGTTCAAACTAAAAACCTTAATTTTGTTTTTCCAATTCAATGAAGTTATTTTGAGGAATTTTGTTTCTAAATATGACTTTTCTTCCTTTAACTCATGCTTCTATATAGGTATAAACATTATTTTTTTATCGATGATTTCCATTATATGATTGATTGGGTTCTGACTAGATCTAAAAATTGATTTTAATTTTATTAAATATTTTTAGAAAAAAAATTGCAGTTATCACATCATTAAATAATTAAGTATCAAAAATTAAATTTCAATCTAAATGACTATAACAGCTAACTTGATAAAATTGAATCACTTTTAAATATAAAACAAGATTGAGTGATTATGATGACCAATTAACAAGACTTGATTAAGCAAAAAAAACATGAGTGATAAGTTTAAATTTACATTTTCCTTTCAAATTTAGGTACGTGTTTGAACATACGATTTCATTTCATGATTTCAAATCATGAGATAAAATCTTAAATCCTCCGGAAAGCTTGATTTGAAAATTTCATATCATGATTTCACATTTTTCAAATATAAAAATTGTCCCACAATTTTTTATTTTGTAAAAAACATCATCTTATATGTACCAACCATTTGTTTCCTATGAAAACAAAATTTATAGTTGATATTGTTACTCTTACCAATATTTTAACCATTTATATCGACAAAATACATGTTCAACATAAGGAGATTGTTCATACTATGTGGGAAATTTTATGAAAAATATTACATTGTCTCATGATTAATTTTACTTTTTATCGAACTAAAATTCAATCAATAAACTATTGTTTTTTTTATTGTGATAGTGTATAATTTCATATCATAATTCCATCTCACGTGGTTAAACAACCCTATATTTACATTTTTCCCTTCAAATTTAGTGAGTGTTTGGTATGAAGGAAAACATTTTTCAAATTAGATTATTTTCCTCAAATTTAAGAAAAATGATTGTAATGACCCTCCTGGTCATTTCTGTGTCTTGACTTCTGTGTATCGTTTAGAGCATTTTTGTAGCGACCCCAAGTCATTTATGACTTGCTGGGACTGACAGTTCGGTCACCTAGTCGTTCGTTTGGTTTTGGTGCGAGTTTTTGTGTTTTGGAGCTTATGAACCTTGAACGATCATTTTCGATCAAAAGTTCAAAAAGATGACATCGGAATCCAATTCTGACGATTTCATCAACTTCGGAAGGGTCATTTTAGGCTAGTAGCATGGTCGACATGACTCTCGATGTTTTCAGTGGGAGTCAGTCCTATTAGGCGTTTTAACTTTAAGTTTAAGCCTAAGTTTGACTTTGGTCAACATTCTGAGTAAACACGCTCGGATGAGAATTCCGTCAGCGCGGTTAGCTCCGGAATGTCAAGTTTGATCTAGATTGACCTTTCTTTTGTGTCTCGAGGTTTTCAATTTTTTTCTAAGTTCTTTTGTGGTTTTTGACTTAAAATGGCATTTGGGTGTGGGACCCACTTTTTGTCAAGATGACCTCGTATGGAAATTTTGACTATGCCATTGAGTCCGAAATATTGAATTTGGTATGTTTACATATTTCGTTTGCGTGCACGGGGTTCCAAACAAGATCGGAGCACCCGTCGGAGTTTTTTTTTAGTTTTGGAAATTATTGCAGAAAATCAGCAACATTTTTTCCAAACTTCAAACCCTCATAATTCTCTCATTTCAAGTCCAAATTCAGTGATTCAAAGGTTCATCTTGTGAGATTTTTTGCAAGGAACGCGTTGGTGAGCTTGGATAGTGATTTGGGGTCCTCGTTTGAGGTAATATTTGTAAAATACCTGCTGCCACGACCCCTTTTTGTGAGCTTGATTTTGGAATTTTTGATACTTGCTTTCTCAGCCATTTTAGGTCTGATTTCAGTGATTCTTGAAGCTATCTTGAGTGGTTTTTTGAGGAGAACATCGTGGTGTTGTCGGAATTCTCTTTAGACCTCCAGTTTCTGGTAAATATATTGATTCAACTGCTGTCCTATTTCCAGTTCTTGAGAAAATTTGAGTTTTGGTTGCATGTTGATATTGTGTTGTTCCCGAGCCCCGAATTGTGTCCCATTTTGGGACATGAACTGGGGGAACTGGTTAGTACCCACTTTTGGGGTTAATTCCGGAATTTCCAGCACAGGTTCCACTTTCCCCGTTTTGACCCCGAAATTGGTCCGTCTCCGCTTATTGTGATTTTGGTGTCTAAACGACCGTAATAACATTGTGACTCTATTTTTGATAGCGGGGCAGCGTTTTGAGACCGTTCGAAAAGGGAAAGTTTCAAATAAGTGATTTTGGAGCGCGTGTGAACAGCCTACAGATAGGCTACAGTTTCCCTCTCTTAGATTAAGCTTGAGAGTGTAAATGCATGTTGATTAATTGGGATTTGGGTTGGTAGTTATTGAATCATGCATAGGTGTTTAGAAATCATGTTTTCGGCATATGTCGAGAATTATCGGGTAACTGTGAGCATGCTTTGTGTTATTAATTGACCCTCCTCGCTATGTGAAGTGCTTGCATGCTTACTTACTGTTTATTTGAAGCATCTTGGGCCTTAGTTTAGGTTTGACTAGGGCTTGCCTTAGAAATACATGATTCAGATCCGATAGGCCTTAGTTTTGCCCCAACGTCGCTCGGTCGGCTTAGATCCCTGTAGACTGGTATAGCAGACTTGAGTATGATAGTTTGGGTCTTAGCTAAGTGATACGCTTGCTCCGATGATAGTTATCCTTATTTACCCGATGTTACAACTTCACAAGTTAAGTCGGCGACGCTAGTTCTGCTTCGCGATTTGAATTTGATTTTCGATTCGGCTCCAAGGACTTACATTGATTGGCTAAGTATGAACGACGTTCCACGGATATTTATGAGTGTGGATCGATTAGGACTCTTTCAGCAGCTACATTGGCACCTTTATGGAGCATCTGGTTTAAGGTCCGGCCTCTATTGCCCAGATACTTATATAGAGCATCCGGTTAGAGTTTCGGCCTCTATTGCCCAGATACTTATATAGAGCATCCGGTTAGAGTTCCCGCCTCTATTGCCCAGATACCTATACAGAGCATCCGGTTAGAGTTTCGGGCTCACATACTTAATACTTATGATTGGTTACTTGGTGAGCATCTGGTTCGAGGTCCGACCTCCGTACTGTCAAATTCTACTAATTGGGGTTGAGGTTCTGGTTCGATGTTCTCCGTTCTTGGGTTCTTATATGCAATTCCCTTTAGTTATAATTGTTCTATGCACTCGTTGGGCTTATGGGGGTCTGTTCGGGTTTTTATTTAACTTGCGCACGAGTGTACCTTCTAGGCTTATGGGGTCCAGTTAGCTTATAGATTACTTTAGTTAGTTCTTTCTACACTCGTGTGCATTCCATTGTTAGTTAGATTTTCGTTCTTGACTTCGGTTTGTGTTATTCCTTCTTTTGATATTGCCTTTATTTTTCAAGTTCAGTTGGCCTATGATGCCTACTGGGTACCTGTTGTTTGGTACTCATGCTACGCTCTACATCTATTTCGTGATGCAGGTCCGAGCACCAATGGCCAGCGTTGATCCAGTTTGAAGTAGTCTGATCCGGAGACGGGGGTGAGCACACACCGTTTTGTACTATTTCAGTCTCCATCTGTGTATATAGACTTGTCTTTTACCTTTCGAGACAGTCCAGTCTCTGTGGTCCACCTTTGGGACTTGTACTCGTTTTGTTAGTAGCTCTGTACTAGTGACTTCCAGGTTCCGGGAGGGATCTTTATTTGTATATATTTTTTGGTTTGCTTCCGCCTGTTTATATTGTTATCTTAAATTTTGCCTACTCTTGTTTAGTTTCTGCCCTTAGGCCCATTACTTGTTGTTCCGGGTTACGGGTTGGCTTGCCTACTGGTGGGTTATAGTAGGTGCCATCATGACTTAAGAAATCGGATCGTGACAATGACTTATCTCCAAAAAGTAAGAAAAAATATTTTCCAAAATTAGTTTTCAACCTCACACCATAATTTTCCACTCTAACTCAAGTATTAGGGTACCAATTTTCGACTACTACTCCAAACTTTGACTCCTGATTCTCGATATGGGACATGACCTTCAACCTCGATTCGAGACCCAATTTCCAGGTCCTAGGTCAAGTCAAGGTTGAATTTGATTTGGGTGTTAGCCTCCAGTCAAAATTTGAGGTTGGATTTTGAATTGAGTGTCGGGGTCAAATTACGATTCGAAAGTCGGATTTTGAATCGAGTATCAGAGTCTGATCCTAATTTCAAAATTTGAATCTTGAGTCAGAAACCAGAGTTAGGTTTCAGGTTGGAAGTCAGGTTTGGATCACAAATCAAATGTAGTGGTTGAGTTCCAGTTGAAAGTTAGGTCTCGCATCAAGTTGAGGTCGAATCCCAATTTGAGTGTTAGGTCAGAATTTGAGGTCGGATTCTGGATTGAGTGTCGAGACCGGTCCTGATTCGAAAGTTGGGTCTCACGCCAATCGGGGTCGGATCCCAATTGATTATCGAGGTTGGTTTCTATTTCTACTCTCTAGTCGAAAATAAAAATTATTTTACATTCACCAATCAAACACTAAAAAGTATTTTCCACTTACCAACCAAACGAAAATAAATTAGAAACCAATTTATTTTTTAGAAAACATTTTCCATGGAAAATCTTTCTTTTGTACCATACACTGAAAAACACACGTATAATACTCTCATTTTATTTATTAAAATCAAAATGTTTGTATTGTAAGATGGGAACAGTAGTCAAAATGGAAATTTCTTGGAAAAAATAATGGCATAAAATGATGGAAGCAGTGATGGACATATTACCATTCAACAATGCCACATCAGACTTTGCATCTATATTCGAAAACACGTCCAGGTTCAATGTACCTGCAAACTAGCCTTCTTTTCTGCTCCCTTTATAACCTCAACCCCTACCTTTTCTCTCTTCAAATACCCTCCAAATTCCCACAATTCATCAACAATTTAAGCTTTTCTTTTGCTGAAATTCAGTTGGAAAAATCAATCTGTTTGAGAAATGGCTTTGGCTTTCACTTCTTCAACTGCAATTCATGGCTCTCTCTCTTCATCTTCTCATCAACAACCCATAGGTACACCATTTTCTCTCTCCCCCCCTTTGTAAGTTTCAATTTTTACCAGTTTTTTTGATCTGGTTATTTTATCTTTGCAGTATCCCAATTGGGTAACATTCAGCTATTGGATCAGCCAAACAAATTCTTGAATTTTTCTCAGAGGCGTTGTGCTGTGAAGCCATTATATGCTGAACCTAAAAGGAATGAGTCCATAGTTCCCTCAGCAGCAACCTTTGTTGTTCCTGGTATGTTATTGTCTCATTTTAACCCGATACAAAATTTAAGAAAATAAAGCTTCAAAATGGGAAGTTAGCATTAAAGAGTTTGTCAAAAAGTACTACTAAAAAGGGAAAAACATACAAACAAATTGAAATGGAGCTAGTATGCAAACAAATTGATTGTATTGTTTGCTTTGTAAATGCAGAGGTAACGGAGAAAGTAATAGAGGCAGAGGATTTTGAGAAACTGGCTAAGGATCTTGAAAATGCTTCACCTCTTGAGATTATGGATAATGCCCTTGAGAAATTTGGAGATGATATTGCCATTGCTTTCAGGTGCTAATCTTTGTTATTTTGGTCATATTAAGTTGATATATTGTAGTATTTCCTGTCCAAATTATTGTATGAAATCACGTATATGTGAAAGTACGAATTTTGAAGATGGTTGGGAATAGCAATTGAAAAGCTAAATTCATAATTTGAGTAAAAAGAAAAGGTGAAGTATTTAATAGTGAATGTAATGTTAACAGATGGTTTAGTTGTTGTCCTTTCATTTCTTTGAATGTTTTTGAAGTTTCCACTTGGATTATTTTACTGGCAAGGAATGTTATTGAATGCAATGCATGCTTAAATGTGTCATCTGTGTCTTAATTTCCATGACTCAGTGTTTGTTCCTCATTGAATGATGCCATAGGGAACTCCTTATATATAGATAATTTACTCTTTATGATAATGCTCTTACACATTAGCTTTATTTTGCAGTGGTGCAGAAGATGTTGCTTTGATAGAGTATGCACATTTAACTGGTCGACCATTTAGAGTGTTCAGCCTTGATACCGGGAGGTTGAATCCAGAGACCTACCAACTTTTTGATGCTGTCGAGAAGCACTATGGCATTCACATCGAATACATGTTTCCTGATCCTGTTGAAGTTCAGGCATTAGTAAGGACCAAGGGTCTTTTCTCATTTTACGAGGATGGCCACCAAGAATGCTGCCGTGTTAGGAAAGTTAGGCCCCTGAGGAGAGCCCTCAAAGGTTTGCGTGCCTGGATCACGGGGCAAAGAAAAGATCAGTCCCCTGGAACTCGATCTGAAGTTCCAGTTGTTCAGGTAGACCCCTCTTTCGAGGGATTGGATGGTGGCTCAGGAAGCTTGGTGAAGTGGAACCCGGTGGCTAATGTAGAAGGCAAGGACATATGGAACTTCCTACGTGCAATGAATGTTCCCGTGAACTCTTTGCATTTGAAAGGTTATGTCTCTATTGGATGTGAACCTTGCACCAGGCCAGTCCTACCTGGGCAACACGAGAGAGAAGGAAGGTGGTGGTGGGAGGATGCAAAGGCCAAGGAATGTGGCTTACATAAAGGAAACATCAAAGATGAAAGTGTAAATGGTAATGGGAACAATGCTACCCAAGCAAATGACACGGTTGCTGATATTTTCGACACTAAGGACATTGTTACCTTGAGTAGACCTGGAGTTGAGAACCTATTGAAATTGGAAGACCGAAGAGAGCCTTGGCTTGTTGTTCTTTATGCTCCTTGGTGCCAATTCTGCCAGGTAATTGATCATTTAATCATTGAATAACTGTTACATCCCACCAGCAACTTAGTCCAATTGGAAGTGTCACTGAACACGGGACACTTGTTGTCAATTCTTATTTTTCTTATCAATGTTTGTTTTAATTAAATGTTGACAGGCAATGGAAGGATCATATGTTGAAATGGCAGAGAAGTTGGGAGGTTCTGGTGTAAAGGTAGGGAAGTTCAGGGCAGATGGTGAGCAGAAAACATTTGCACAACAAGAGTTACAGCTGGGCAGCTTCCCGACAATACTATTTTTCCCTAAGCACGCTTCACAGCCAATTAAGTACCCATCAGAAAAGAGGGATGTAGACTCCTTGTTGGCTTTTGTGAATGCTCTTAGATGAAGGCAAATGGTGCTTCATATGTTTACACATATAATAGATAGAATAGAAGAGGGACGTGAATTCTTGTACATGTCTCTGGCCTCAATTTTGTGGTTTCTATGGCAAAGATGTTGCTCTTGCTATTGCTGCTTTGACAATACACAAGGTTTTTTCCCTTTTCCTATTTTTTAATTTAATGATAATGTGAACAAGTACAAGTTCAATAATTGGTCATTGGAACAATTGCATTGAACATGTGACAAACCAACCAATTAGATTAGGCATGTAACTTACAAACTCGGCACGTTACTTTGGCACATTGTATAAACTCCATCGAATATTAGAATACAACGACATCTAATTGTATTAGTTCGTGCTAATATTATTTTGGACTCAAATATGAAAGTCTCGACATTATTGATATCTTTTGAAAGTTGCCTAAAATTATATGCCTCAAACTAAAGAAAAATTGGCATAATATGGAAACCTTCAGTTCAAACTTCTATATTACAAAATGCATCTCAATTATTTTTCAAACCATAGTATCTATCAGTAGTAATTCTCTTAAACCTGTTATATTATGATGCCCTAAATTCAGGAATTCTAAATCCAAAAATCTATGTTTTTTCTTTAATTAACTACACATTTTTGTAGCATCTATCATCAGCCACGGTCAAAAACTTCCGCCCCTCATTATGTACTCACACAAATTTTCGCAAATCTACATTCTACTCTCTCAACCGTCAAGTCTTTCTCTCTGATTAGATTATTTTGGGGCAATCTTCAAGCTTATGGATAAATCAATGCTAAAAATACGTCAATTATTGAGGGAAGACAAAAAGTGCACCAATATTGAAATATGAGGGATTACTAATGTTTCATGTGGTAATTCAAGAATGATTTTGAGTCCTCACCCAAAAATAATGGAATTTTTTTTTTGACACTTCGGGTCTGTTTGGAAAGCTACCTGGTAATTGGAATTGGTGTAATTACTAGGATAGTAATTATCAGCCTATTAATTACACAGTGTAATTACACTGTAATTACACATGTCTTGTTTGGATGCCACAGTGTAATTACACATGTTCTGTTTGGATGCACAATTGCAATCATAAAATTATAATAAATTTTAAAAATAAAAATTAATTATTTAAAATTTATACTAGACAAATAAGAAACTTTATAAATAACATTAAATTAAATATTTAAGATAGATATTCTTTTTTGAAAATATACTAATTAATAAACATATTTTCTGTAACTAATATTATGAAAAAATAATTGATTTATATTTTTTCAAATTAATATATTTCAATTGAATTGATCGTAATAACTAAAAGTATGAAGTTTCTATGAACATCGTGAAATGCATGTTTGATAAAAAGAATAATATATAAATAAAATGTCATAAATTATTAAATGTTTGATAAAAATATAATTTATCAACTCTAATTAAACAATGACGTGCAATGTAGATTCAATATTACTAAAACAAATGAAACTGAAAATATAACATAAGTTATAAATTCAAAACAAAATTTTTAACATAAGTCTCTTATAACAAATTTCAACATAGCAATAAATATGATTTAGTTTTAGTTTTTCTTAATAAAGAAAACGTAAGTCTATAACTTTACTTAACAATAAATTCTATTTGAATTTAAAAATTAGAATATAATAAAATTATGCTAATGAGAAAATAAGCGGCATAAAGAAATAGATAATACGAAAAAATTACATAGAATCACGTAAAGTAAGGTTGAGAATAAGAAGAAAATGGAATAAAATAATATAAAATAAAAAATAAACTTTTACAATTTTTTTGAATAATAAAATTTTAAAAAAAAGAAGAAGTAAAAAAATTAAAACAAAAAATTAAAATAGAAATTAAAAAAAGAAATTAAAAAGTAATCAGGTGGTAATTACACCATGTAATTACCAGCAATTCACAGCCTCTGCATGTGAATTGTAGAGTGTAATTACCCCTGCCAATTGCACCAATTACCTGCTGACCAAGTAATTACATGTCCTTCCAAACAGGACAAGGCAATGTAATTACACCAATTCCACCAAATCCAATTACCAGGGTGTCCTTCCAAACAGGCCCTTCATTTTTTGTATTAAATACTTCATTTGTCCCTAATTACTTGTCCTCTTTTGAATTGGCACACCAATTAAGAAAATAATTATTGACATAATGAGTTTACTATTTTACCCCTATTAATTATGAAGTTGATGAATTAAAAACTTAAGATTTTTAAAAAGTTCTACCTTTTTCAAAGTAATTAATTAAAGGTATAGTAGGTAAAAAAAATTGTTCTTTCTTGATTGTCAAAATGAACAAATAATTATAGACAACTAAAAAAAGAAAAGTGGACAAGTAATTAGAGACATAGAGAGTAGGGACATGCTATTTCATCTCGGAATTTGAAATCAACTTTTGGACATGCGAGTTCATTTTTTGATTCTCCAAAAATGCTTGATTAGAAAATTTCATATCATGATTTTACATTTTCAAATACAATAACTGACCCACAACTTTATATTTGTAAAAAGAACCCACCATTTTATATCTACATACTCCCTCTCCCTCTGTTTAAAAAAGAATGATATAGTTTCATTTTTAGTCTACTTCAAAAAGAATGATCCCTTTCCTTTTTTGACAATACTTTAACTTCAACTTTACAACATGTTTAACGTCACAAGAATAAATAGCATTTTGGTACATTTGACATAATTTTAATTTAAAACTACAAAATTAAAAAGTCTTTTTTTTTTCTTAAACTCCGTTCCAAGTTAAATTAGGGCCTTTCTTTTAAAAATGAAGGAAGTATGTTCTTGCAAAAATACCAAAGGAATAATAAAATATTCATGAAATATGAACATGATGATATAATTACTTCAATTTGATCTCATATCTAGGACCTGTTTGGCAATAGATTTCCCAAGTAATATTTGGAGAAATATTTGGCAAATAGTGTTTGTCCATACAATTTACCATTATTTGACAAATATCCCAAATTTCTAAATATTTGGGCCAAATCTCATTATTTGATATCTTTTAAAAATTGAAATTTTACACCAAGTTTTTATCTTTTACAAAACACATATTCAATGAATATGAAAGTGGTGATATGGTTATTGATGAAAATGATGAACAATCGGCTCAAGGTAACAAAGTCATGTGTTTTGTCAACTTCACGATGTATGGAATAATGCTTGTTGCACTCACTCCAAACTATGACATTGCTCCAGTGTCATGGACACTACTTATTATTTGTTGCAACGAAGATCCAATCGATTTGTAATACAAACTTATGGTTAATTTTGATAGTTTTTAAAACTTATCGTTATAAATCATATTTTTCTTAAAAAGTGAAATATGTTTCCCAAATATTATGATCAAACACATGGTGAAATTTCACCCAAATAATATCTATCAAGAATATTTGAAAATCTATGGTCAAACGGCCCTTATAGTTTGTTCCTTGCTTTTTGATAATTGTGCACCGCCGACTGTAGCGGCAAACAAACACATATGGTTTCAATTTCAAAATTCCCTTTCACTTTACTACCCAAAATCAAACCAATTCTTGTCAACCTAAACCCTAGCATGTCTTGGTCATGTTCACGATGCACATTCTTGAACCCTCCTTCCCAAAAATCATCCTGCCAAATATGCTTATCTGACTCACCATTATCAATCTCATCAGACCCTTCAATTTCAGTCCCAAAACCCAAATGGCCATGTAAAGCTTGTACCTTTACGAACCCTTATCACAGCATAAGTTGTGAAATATGTGGTACTAGGGTTTCAGCTTCAGGACTTGCTACACTTGAAACTGATGATGATGATGATGATTTGAGTTCTTCTGTTGGCAACGTGTTCTTGCCTTTGAGGCCTTGTAACAAGGGTAAAATAACAACTAGGGCTCCTATTATGGTTGAAGATGATGTGAAGGAGTCTGTTAGGTTTAGATGTGCGAATGCGGCAAACAAGAGGAAAAATAGGGAGGAACCACTCGGGGTTGAAGTGGCTGAGGTTGATGCTGCTATGGGGTATAGGGGTGTAAAGGCTGCTGCAACTAAAGCAATTGAAATATCGGGTATATTGGAGTTCTTTTTGTTTGATTCTGATTAATTTGTCAATATTAATTAGGAGTTTGTTATGTTTCTACATGAATTATCTGATAAAATATATTTCTTTTTTGTTGGTTTCGTGCATACAATGGTGTTCCTTGATTAGGTTTTGAATTAGGCAGGAACATTGCTTTAGTGTGATTCTTTAGTATTCATCGGAGTAAATTTGGATATGTGGATGTTATGAATGAAATGGGACTGGAAGGATGTAAAGTATTCACATAGTTGGCTTATCTAGTTTGGGTTTGAGGTTTACTAATATGAGCTGTGTGTGCTTGATGATATATTTGTAATAAATCTATCTTGTTAAGTGATAGTCTTGGTCAAGAAGATATGCAGTTCCTGTTTTCCGTTTGTGCAAATTTTCTGATTGATTGGTGGTCTCTTCAGTTGTATGCCAATCATTTTGCAGACTAGTTCATGATCTTGTAGACTGGTTCTATCATGTAGAGAGATATAACAATGGGAACTTCTCCCATGAAAATGAAAAAGTATAAAAGTACTGTGTAGGGAAAGAGTGTTTTTTTTCTGGGATTTATGATGTTTAGTTTGCCGGAAAAGGCTTAATTGTGGAAGTTGTTAGTAAGTTTTTAGGATGTTAAGCCTTTTGATGCTAGTATATACTTTGTTTAGCTGAGGGATATCTAGATTTTGTGTTGGAAAAGTTCACCTTTTCGGATGCTATTGTTCCTTAAATTTTTAAGTGCAATGATTTGTGGTGCAGATTCAGTGGAACAGGAACCAGGCAAAACTTTCTCAACCAGTAAATCCAAAGTGTTGAAGATCTTGACCTATAATGTGTGGTTTGCAGACATAGAGATGCACAAGAGGATGAAAGCCATAGGCAACCTTATTGCGCTGCATACGCCAGATGTTATATGTTTTCAGGTTATCATCATTTATCTACACGTCTATATGCAAGAAAAATTATGCCTTGCATGAAAGTTATTGACTCTGTAATTTGTGATACCTATTCAGGAGGTTACTCCAGAAATATATGACATTTTTCAGCACTCTGGTTGGTGGAAAATGTATTCTTGTTCCATTTCAAATGTGATGGAATTGACGAGAGGATACTTCTGCATGCAAGTAATTACTTAATACACCTTGAATATTTGGTATTTTATGTGTATTCTGCAGGCCTATTATACGATACTTTAGTTATGTTCTTTTCTTTTTTCTTTGCGATCCTGGTTTATCTCCTATTATGTGCACTTGTTTTGAGCACTTCTATTGGATCTGGAATTCTTGCAATAGTTAAGATAATTAGTTCCACACTATACCCAGGGACACCTTAGTTTTCAATTACTTACAACGGAGCTTTCCAGTTGACATAGCCCATAGAAGTCTCTCTATAGTACTCCCTCTAGTCCATACTAAGTGAATTATTGGGATTTTTTTCATAGTTCAAAATAAGTGACTTGTTCAAAGTTCAAGAGATTTATTGGGCCTTTTTCCATGTTTACCCTTCATCTAATGAGGTTCTCAACTACTTTATGTTTTCTAGGAAAATAGCTTGAAAATAATCAAAGGTAATAGTGGAAAGTAGCCTTTTGTTTATCGTCCTTAAATATTTTTCTAAGGGGTGTGCCCATACCCCAACAATTCACTCAATATGGATTAGAGAGAATAGTACTTAACATTTACTCTCCCTTTCAATAGGAAAAGTTAATGTTGAAGATATGGAACATCTCAATAATTGCTCAACATGAATCCTTGCAGTTTTTTGAAAAAAGTTGGTCCATTTTTTATAGTTAAACTTGGTCTTTGACAAAAAAATTGCAGTTGAGCAAACTTGCAGTGAAATCCTACAGTTGCAAGCCATTTAGCAATTCTATAATGGGAAGGGAACTCTGTATTGCTGAGATTGAAGTTGAGAAAGATATGACCTTGGTTGTTGCTACCAGCCATCTTGAGAGTCCTTGCCCTGGGCCACCCAAGTGGGATCAAATGTACAGCAAGGAACGTGTGGAGCAAGCCAAGGAAGCTGTGGAGCTGCTTGAGAGAAAACGGAATGTAGTCTTTTGTGGTGATATGAACTGGGATGACAAATTGGATGGTCAATTTCCTCCAACTGATGGATGGATTGATGCTTGGGGCAAAATGAAGCCTGAAGAAACGGGATGGACATACGACACCAAGTCAAACAAAATGTTAAGCGCCAATAGGACACTACAGAAACGTCTGGACAGGATTGTCTGCAAACTGCAAGATTTCTGTGTAAGTGATGTTAAGATGATTGGAAAGGATGCAATCCCAAATCTCACATATATAAAGGAAAAGAAAGTGAAGAGTGAAGTTAAGAAACTGACACTACCTGTTTTGCCTAGCGATCATTATGGTCTACTTTTGGAGATCTCTCCTCAGTAGTCCAAAGTTGAGAGATGTATTGCTTATTATTCTCTCAGTGTATCAATGAATGTAAAAGGGTCTTAAAAGCTTTTGCAGAGCACTTGTTTTTTTGTACATTGCTACTACTTTACTAGTGCTCATGTTTGCACCAGAGGATATTTTCTATGCTATGTTCATAGGCTTCTTATGATATCAGTATTCACTTCTGTGCTGCATTTTCCATTTGTTGCAACTTCTCTTGGGGTTAAGTTAAATCAATTTTTAGCAATTCCTGACTACTGCTTCTAGCGTCCTATGAATTTTTATAGCAGCCACGTGATGAACGTATATCGAACTATTCTTTTGCCCGAATGTTGTGAGTGTGTTGCAAATAGTGGCATACATCAATTTTTGGAGGGATTCTCTTCCTTGGGGATCCCAGGAATTTTAGTTATAATGTTTCTATTGTTATTTAATGGGTTAAAAATGTCATTTGTTTAAATAAATATATTATTTTAAACATTCTTTTCCCAATAATAATTTTTTTAATTTGCATACTTCAATTCGGAAAAGATTAAGATATAAAAATATTTTCTAAGAGTTGTACACCTTTAGTTACAAGTGTTGAATCCAGCAGTGGTTCTGGGCTACTCGTCTTCCTAGAAAGGTTATATCCTCTTTGCCTTAACAAGTATTGGATTAAAAGAAGAGAATAAAATGATGTTTCCTTAGAAAATCATAGACTTAAAACTAACTTTTAGAAGAAACTTAAATAACTTGGAGACAGAGGGCAGCTGAATTTTCACAGATGAAAATTATATATTGAAAAATTCCTCCAAAAATGACATCATTCTCGAGGCTTGAATTCAAAACTTGTAATTAAAAATAGCGGTATGTTCACCTTCACCCTATCATAATATTAAGCTCCCGTTTGACCATAGATTTTAAAGTTGAAACTTGAAAATTTTGAATTTTTTAAAGCTGTATTTGGATTTTGAACATGTCATTTTACTTCAGAAAAACTCAAACTCAACTCATCGAATCCCCACAGGAATAGACAAACGGATATAACATTTGCATCTGTAAAGTTTGCCTAGTACCATCTTAGTGCTAAATTTTAACGAAATCTCTTTACTTTTTAAAAATAAAAATAATGATTTTATTCATCAAAATTGTGAGCACAAATTTGTTTATTCCTTATTCTTCGCTCCTAAGGTTTCTCTATAATTCAAGGGTCATTAGTAGTGTATTTTAAAAAGGAAATCAAATTTATCATGTCAATTTTTCAAATGTTGGAATCAAATCAAAATATTATAATTAAATCGATTTTTCTTGCTACGGTTTTTATTATCTTTTTCTGTTAATTCGTTCTGTCTTTTTTCTTGGAAAATATATGATAAACCTCCGAGCATAACACTAACGTACAAATCAATCACTCTTTAAGAAAAGAATCAACTATATATAAATGTACTCAAATTATATATATAGCTTATTTGATATAATTGTATGCATTATTTAAGAATTTAGCTATTTTAATTTCAAGGAACATAATATCTAAAACTTCTTACAATAATGATTTTTTTTGTGCAAAAAATTAGAGAGTTGTGATTTAATGATAACTGAATCAAATAAATTATGAATAAAGGACTCAAATACAAGTTATTTTAACATGAAATAGATTCTTTGATTTATTAAAATAAAAGCTACGAATAAAACTACTGAATACGGGTAAAGAATTAAATTAATTACTACTAGTAATTAAGTCAAACATCTAGATTAAAAATCAAGAGTGAAATAGATTAATATGTAGCGTAAAATTTTATATAAAATGTATATACACACACAATATATATAGAGTGTGTACAAAGGGCAGGGACGTAGTCAACGCCATAGAGAGAGTTCGGTTGGTTTGGTTTTTTGGATATTTTTTTGTTAAGACCAAAATCAAATTAAATAGAATCTTTTTTAAAATAAACAACGTCTAAAACCAAATCAAACCAAAAAAATGTCATGGTTTTTTTCTTTGATTAATTGGTTATATTCCCGTAAACAGCCCTATACAAGTATGTTAGATTATCAGCTTCAGAGTTTCACTTGTTTTGATAGACAATCATAATGAGTACGTTATTATTTTCATGGTCATATTTCTATGAATGAGACCTATTATTAAAATATAATCAAATATCGAAATTGAAAATATTAAAGGAAGAAATTAAACTATCTAGTATAAGAAATCAACAAGATGAGGTGAATAAAGATTAATGCATGTATATTTGAAGGAATGATGTAATTAATTAATTTGATGTAAGGGAAGAGTTAGGTTGATCACGAAGGTTTTGGCTTTTTAATAAACAAAAATATTATACTACTAGTCATGAATATATACTACGCAATGTATACATGACTTAATATCTTCCTACCTAACTTTCACATTATTGTTAATCTTACTTTACTACTATATAAGTTGAGCTTCCAAAACTCAAAATTCTCATCACTAACATCTTAATTACTACTAACATCTTATACAATGGCAACCGATATGATGATTCTCCTAATTGTTGCTTGTACACTTGTTTTATCCACAAATGCAATTAGGAGCCTTGATTCCATGAAATCTCAATCAGATGAACATATGAAGTTTATACGCCATCCAATTTTACCACCATTTTTTGGTGGCCACGGGCTTGGTAGGCCCGCATTTGGTGTAGGGCCGGTTATTGGATTCGGTCCTTTTGGAGGAATTGTGGGGGGAGCTAGTCCAAACAACGGTGCTGGATTGGGTTTCGGAACTGGAACTGGAACTGGAACTGAAACAGGAAGTGGAACTGAAATTGGAAGTGGATCAGGTTTCGGGTCCAGCATTGGAGGAGGAGGTTTCGGGTCTAGCATTGGAGGAGGAGGTTTTGGGTCAGGAAATGTCGGAGGAGGTTTCGGGTCAGGAAATGTCGGAGGAGGTTTTGGTTTTAACGGTGATAGTAATGGAGGTGCTAGTCCTATTGGTGATGGTTCATTTGCTAGTGGTCAAGCTAAAGCATCACTTGGAAATCAAAAACCTTGAACAACTCTTCATCAAGATATAATATGATATGATATATTACTATTATTTTTACACAAATAAGACTAACTTCGCATATTGCGCTAGTTACTAACTAATTAGGAGAATTACTCATCTTTCTTTCAAATACTTATATGTTATGGTTTGATTTTGCATGTTTAAGTATAATTCTAATGTTTTCTAATGTTTAAGCATTAGAGCTCTATCTGAGCTTCAATAGTGTTCAATATATTTAAATCAGGTTTTTTTCTTCTCAATATCGAAATTCTTGATCAATGGAGGAACAATATCACCATTTTTGTTCAATAAGATACCAAAGTGGATGATTGACTCATTCCATACTAGAAATAATCGGAGAAAATCCTTTGATAACCCGGATTCTCAGCTGACTTACGACGAGTTTAAGTTTCAAATACAATACCAATTATTTTCAAGCTTAAAATAGTATACTTACCAAAATCAAATTTATCTACTGATATTTTTTTGGAGTTCGAAGGATACCGAATCAGGTTGGAAATCTATTTAAAGTTGAAGGTTCTTGAATCCCTAAATATAATTAATTGTGAAGTAATTTGGTTTATGATTTGGCTGTTGATTTGGTGAATAAGATGGAGGAAAATGTCGAACGAAATTAACGGAACTCCATTTTTGAAGTCGAAGAATTTCACATCTCAATTTCAAAATTTGAGAACTTAAGTTTGTAGGTTACCATTGTCAAAATCGTTTGAAGAATTAGTTATTGTACTTAAATTTAGGTTCACTTACTAATTTGGGTATGTATTAAAGAAAAGTTAATTCACTATGGGAGGATATTACTCTAAAATGCTTGAAGAACACCCTCTGTGAGAATTAAGTTTTATTTTCTTAGTTTAATGGGGTTCTTTTTAGGTGGGGCGGGTATGGGTTTATTTGGTGGATCCAAATTTGGGTCGGAATTTGATTAGTTTAGGTGAATTGTACACACACCAATAAAATCGTGCCACGTAATAAATGATACATTTAATAATATTTTAAAATGTGGCCGTCAAAAGTAAGGGCATTTTAGGGCCAATACATTGACGACAAGGATATTTTAGGACCGAAAGGTTGACGAAGGGTATTTTTATACCAAATCTCATAGTTCAAGGATATTTTAGGCCCTTTTCCGTAATAGGAACGATGCTTCACATTTTCAGAGGAAATTATTGTTGACACCCAATTTTGACCCTCCCCGATAGGAATTAATTCCCGAGCTTCTTAATTTCCAAACGATTTAGAATAATTAGTTTTATAAAATTCAAATACTTTGCAAAGTCATCTTAAGTGATTTTGGTCGATTTTCATAATTTATAAATAATATATATTTCATGTAATTTTATATATTTATAATTCGTATATTTTATAAATATTTGGAAATCACCTCGAAAAGATTTTATTTTAAATATTCTATTAAAATTAGTTTAGTTATATAATAGTTTATATTTTAAAATCATTTAGTTTATAATTAAATTGATTATTTTATTTCGTTAAGATTAAGAAGCTCGTTAATTAATTAATATTAATTTATCTTATTTGAGTTGTAGCCAATTTTATTAATTAAATTCGAAATGGCTTAATTCAATTGGCTATAATCTAAACCCATTTAACCATTCCTAATCTAACCCTTTTAACCTCCCCTTAAACCCAGCAACCCAAATAATTTCCAGATTTATCCAAGCCCAATTTAATTAACCCCTGACCCACCAATTCTTCCAAATTCAAATTAATAGTAATACGTACAGGCATACGTTCCAAATCCCAATTGCTAACAACCCTTTCAACCGACCCGACCCAACTCTCTTCTTCACAAAGAGATCCAAACATTCCAACAACAATCTAAACAGTGAAGCAAACGGAAAAGCACACATCAACGTGAAAATATACAACAAAGCAACATAGATAGACGGAAAAGCAGCAACAGAGGGTAGTACTGCGTCTCCTTTGTCTTTTTCCTCCCATCCCTCTCGATAGTACTGTTTCTAGCCGAGTTTTGCGACAAAAAACATCAGTAGCAGCAACGTGAATCGTCCTCCTAGCGTGAGATCGCTCCACGTTGCTCATCCAGGACGATTGAACGGATTGAGTCCATTTATCCCCTTTCCCCTTCCGGAATGGGATGAAATGTGAGAAAAAGGATGTTTAGCCAAAATGGTGAAAGGTTTTTCGAATTTGAATTTCGAGATGGGCCTTTTCTATTTGGATTTTTTGATCCCTTTTCCCCTCTAAAATTTCCGAACCCTAGTTCCTTGCTATATATTTGCTTCTGTTCACTGTGGGAGGGGGGAAAAAAAATTTGAAGAGGGTGGGGAGAAATTTGAAAAAGGGCATAGAAAATTGGTCACATTTTAATAGCTTACTAAAGGTCTTGAATAGTCGATTTTACATTTTAAAGAAATCCTTGGACAAATTCTCTAAGTCTTAAATTTTGGGAAGTTTTCTTAGTTTGGTTTCATTTGGATTTCTTGGTTGCTACTCGAGTCGGAGCTCGTATGGAAGAGGTCGTTGCTACCTTGCTCGTTCTCGTCTCAGCTCGCTGCCCAGAAAAGGTAGCATTTCCTCTGATGGCTTTTCTCTATTTTGTTTTGTTAATATTGGGAAATTACTATTCTGCTGGTTGTTGGCTCTTAGCTGCTGTAAAACTAATGTACAAGACTTATATTCTTGGTTGGTTTTCCTTGAGATTAGTCATAATATCAAGTTAAGCTTTGGAAATATATTAGCGTTTTCTCTGCTACCCTACCTGAAGTTTTATTTTGTCATTTTTGCTTCTGGAATACCGGTAAATCTGTTTTATTGCTCAATATTTGACACCCTATCTTTCATTCCTTCACCCCTAGTTGGACGAATGAAATAAGGGGAGTACATTCCAAGTACGCGTGTTGCATTTGCTATTATATTGAGTTCGAAGGTCGTATTTTGGTTACTACTCGTTTTATCTCTTTATTTGTTAGTTTCATTGAGTCTCCATTGAGATATATGCTTTATTTTTCTACTCCTATCAGCATGTTGGTTGATAGCATTGTTAGAATATGTGTTGAACTTATTTGTTAAACTTGATACAAAGATGGGGACCAATGATAGATTGATATAAATTTTGTCATCACCTCCCCTACTGTCGTTTCTCTTAATATTTGATGTTGGAACAAGTTTGAATGCATTAAAAGAGTCTCCACCTTTTTGATGCTTATGGTTGTTCACTGGAAACTAGAAATTCACATTGAAATAATAGGCAATATGTTTTACTTGTTAAAAGTTGAAGTGTAAGACAACTTCACCATATTGTCAACTATTTGGACCCACAAATTTAGGATATGCATGTTTATGTAATCTATAATTGAGCATCTTTACGGTGATTGATTTAAACCAATTGATTCGATCGAATTATGAGCATGTTTACCTTGTAAATAGCAAATCTGTGTGAATCTAATGCCATAATTAAATATTCAAGAAAAATGTACTTGTCTTAGTTGGTCGTTACCTTCTGTTTAATTTTGACAGATTAGTTGGTTTTTAGAGATAAATCAAATTGCATTGTCGAAATTTACTCAAACATGCTTTTGTCTTTAATTCGGGAAGCAACCGGAAGCTGAATTTTTTTTTATAAATTATCATGTTTCTCCAGAAATGACTTGAGTTGATTGTTTAATAGTTATTCTTGGAGCATTATAAGGTATAATGTCCATTGTTGCTTTTAAATTTCGAGGTGGTCCACTCTTGTCGTTTGCTACGTAGAGACAAGCTGTCAATTTCACTTTCATTATTTGAAGTTAGTGGATGATTTTTTTATCATTGACCCTTTTCTTTTTTTATATATACACATTTATGTCCTTTTTCTTGGCTAATTCAAGTTGTGGGATGGTAACTTCATTGGTCTTATTTTTAATTTCTTTTGCCAGTTCATTCTTTATTCCATGTCACTTTCCTCTTTTGCTAATTCGTTCTCTTCATTTGCATGTGAAATCTGCCCGGGTCCTCGCGGACTTTATCCTCGCATTTTCGTTTGGGACACGGAGGCCTATATTCAAATTTTTATTCGAGTTAGCCGGTCATTAAAATCGAAGAACAAGTCCTTAAAAAATTGACGAACAGGATTTGGAGCTGGTACGAGATTTTATACACTAGTACACCTAGTGTATGCGAAAAAAATGAGAAAACGGGCTTAAAGAGGCCCACTCTTCCTCATGAATTGTATTTTGTTACTTTGGGCCTAAGCCCCTCCTTTGTCTTGCTTATTATTATTTTGTTAATTATTAGGACAAGTGAAAAAATGGGGCCTAAGACCCAAAGAACAATACTTTTTGTTATGTTAGACTAAGACAGGTGTAGGTGATTCGAATGGGCCTTCGACCCAAAACAAGATTAGGCCCAAGTACTGGCCCAGGCGAACAGTAAACCAGGCTTGGGCCCAAATTTCCTTCTTTACTGATTATTTTATATTTGTTTACCTATCGATATTAGTTGTTAGTCTTAAGGTTACTACAGTTTAATTCCCCGAAAGATAGTCATTCTAAACTAATCTTCTAAAAATTAACTAATTAAATACTCGCTTCCTATAATATTGAAACATAATCTATCAAAATGTTTAACTTAGATAATATCGCAATACTTCTCCTTATCCCTTTTTAAAATGGTCTTAACTAAAAAAGTTCAATTTTGCAATTCAAGTTAAATTAAATTATTTTAGCCAAATAATTAATTGCCGGATAACCGCATATTAGCGGGCATTTCAGGTGCTTTCAAACCCTTTTCGAAATGCTAATAAGAACCCCGAACCCCTTTTAAGTTTTCATTAGGTTCTCTGTTTTAGTCTTTTGAAAACAACAGTTTTCTTAATTTTACTTTAAAATTAAATGGCGACTCTTAAAACCAATCAAATAATATTTTCCTAATAAAACAGAATGGCGACTTCCGCTGGGGATTTGAATGGTTCTAACCTTAAGATTAATTTATTTGGCTATGTGTTTTAACTGTCTACTTGTTTTATTTATCGCTTATATTGAATTGTGACATTCATGGCACCCGATTTCGTCAAACGGCAAATAGACTACATTAGGAAAAAAGGCGGTTATGTGGCTTACCACGGTTGTCCTTCAGAAAATACACAAGTTGAATTCTTTGGAAGTGATAAACGAATAGTTGACTTGTGGTCATCCAACGTCGTTTATTAGACTTCACCCCGTTGTTTGTCCGACTCGAATAACCGTCATTTCTCAACCAATTCTAGTCAACCTAGAGTAGAGCGAAACCAAATCCAAATCTAAGCATTAGCCTAAGACGGCTTAATAACCCAAGGCGTATTAAGTCCATTAGTAAAACCGCCAAAATCATGTCCAAGGTCCATGACCTAACGACATATCATATTATTTGACATTTGAAAGATGTATGTGTGGAAACCTAATTGTTGCCTATTTGGGGGAGGGAATTTTATCTGTGCTTTATTTTGAGGTATGGATCGATTTCCCAAATTTGACATGGTAGTGGAAGCGCCGGTTCTGCTCAAAATGTGGTACAACGACCTCAATACGTTTCACAAAAGAGACCTCAACAAATATGTAGGGGCCTTAACAGAACTCATTAACATGGTCGGGTGGCCTGAGTTGATTAAAGTCCTCACAGGTTATTGGGACAACGAGAAAATGGTGTTCCGATTTGGAACCATGGTAATCACCCCGACAATTGAGGAAATCCGGGACGAAATAGACACAGTCGGTACAGGGCTTGAAGGAAGAGTGAGAAAATGGGAAAACATCTTAATCCCTAACAAGCCTACCCTCGAGGATATTGTAAACTGGCTCGAATTAAGAAAAGATTGTGCTTACTGGGCCGAAGGTTCTAGCATTTCTTTCATAGATCTCTATGTTAGATTCGGGGATGCGAGCTTTTATGCGAATTACAACCAAGAGTTCAGGGTCACTTTTAGAGAATGGGACTGGATCAAACCTTTGGCATTCACCGTCGCACTATTGGGCACCATGGTTTTTCCACACAGCCCGAGCCTCAACATCAACACCCGAGTGATAATGCTTGCACACACTCTGTTCCACGGGCATCTGAACCAAGGGCAAGTAAAGTATTATCCTATCGCACCTGTCATCCTTTCTGACATGTACTGTGCTTTGGGAAAATGCAAGGAAGGGTATCGTTACTTTCAGGGTTGCAACCTTCTTCTTCAATGGTGGATAATGAGTCACTTGGTGAACAGACACGGAACTCAAGAACTCCATACCATTGATGAGCATAATGCTCTTAAGAGTTTGAATGGCATGCTATTCTGGGCAGACTGAGAAAAAAGAAGAACCAGAGAAAGATGGGCTCAAATTTTTTCTGAGTTGAGAGAAGAAAACATCCAGTGGATGTTCGACCGTTTCATCTCGAAATATGCCATAGTATGGGACAACAGACAACTTGTGTTTCCTCTGCCAGGTATTTGAGGTATTCGCCCATATGCACCCATCCGGGTCCTGAGGCAGTTCGGAAGAAGACAAACTACACCCCCATAAGCATACTACCGTTTCTATGTGTTCGACATCGGGGATGATAGAGTGCCTGAGGCTTCAGAGATGCTGAGAGAATGGAAAAGAGCAGTGCGAATGAATAAGGACACCATTGCCACAGATCGATTTAATGCGGGGTACGATGAAACTTACAAAGCTTGGTTGAAGCGCAATATACAGGGTAACTCCTTCTAAGTTCCGAACATTTACCGAAGTGTAGAGGACAAAGAGTCCAAAGCATTGATAGAACTAAGAGAGGTAAGAAGAGAAGCCCAGGAAATGCACGAGGAATTTCTCTGAAAGCAAGAAGAGGATAAGTACGCCCTCGAGAGCATAACTCAAGAATTAGAAAGCTTGAGAAGCAATTTGGGAGAGCTTAACTTGTGGATTGGAGATAAGAAAAGCGGAATGTGTCTCGAATACTGGGAAGAGAAAGGCCGTCGGAGCGAAGGATACTTGCTAATGATTCAATATAGGCTTCAACATCTCATGGCACAGAACAAGAGGAGCATATCAGAGGCGGGGCCATCAGGAGCATCTTAGCGGATTTCACCCCTGTGTGGGTTTTTCTATATGTACTTATTGTTATTTGCCCCTGCGTGGGCTTGCCTTTCTTGTATTTTGGTACTCTTTTCAAATGACCCCTATGTGGGCCTTTCTTTTGTATTTTTCGTTTATTCCCTACTTCCCCTGCCTATTTTCGCTTCTTGAACATCATTTTATATGCAAAATTTGCTTTGGGGTAATGAAATGGTTCAATTCTACACATACATCTTTCAAATACGCTAGGCTTACCCTTGGCACAAAAGGGCCCCCTACTTGTTAAGACACGCGATATATGCTTGTGTGCTTTAACCGTTTATGTGGTACGTTGCTTTGAATGAGTACACCCTTATCCCACTCCTTTCCAAAAACTTCCAAAAATTCCTACAATATCAAATACAAGTCACTACCAAATGTCCGACCAAAATTCCATGAGTCTTAAGTTTCCCAGCCAGAAATAAAATCCTACCACCAAATCCTAAAATATTACTCTATCATCTCAGGAAAAGTGAAATTGCTGCTAAGATGGAAAAAGACAAAGGTATCAACGTAGAGCTAATCGAAGAGAATTTGAGGATGGAATTGCAGCGGCTCAGGCGAGAGATCCAAGAAACCAGAGAAAGAAGAATAGAAGTAGAGTTTGCCACCGCGGTCGCACAAGCAGCAAATGCGGCACTAGATGCGGAATTGGCAGCAAATATGACAAAATGTGATGTTATAAGTAAAAAGACAGTTGATGTGCGGAAGGAACATGACGCCTTCAAGAATGACATAACTATGAGACTTCAGAAGATACATGGGAAATGCTCTTTCTTCAATCAAGAAGCCAATAGTGGTCCAGAAGACACTCACCCTGGAGCTACTGAAGAAGATGCCGATGAGGAAATCATCTATATGCCTCCCTTGTTAGGACGTCTGAAAGGAGGAGACCAAAAGATCACTCTCCCGGCTTATGAGCGGACACATAGCATGGGGACAAGAGTCGTGTTGTGTGCTCTCATTTACGAACACCTTAAGGCGTCAGGTATGCTGAAGCCTCTCGAAGGAACCACTTTTGGGTTTGGGCATGAAAGCTCTCAAAAGACATGTGCCTACCACCCAAACCAAAAAGGACACACTATAGAGGAATGTGTGGAGCTTAAGGCAGCAATCCGCAACCTGATCAACATTGGGGAGATCCCGTATATGTGGGGTAGGAACACCATCCTTACCTGTGACCAACAAGAGCCTAATATGCCGGTCACTGAGCACACTTTGTTTTATTGTCACTACTTCACGCCTTTCAAGAAAATGTTGCTGGATATCTATAGTCAGTTGGTTTAAAAAGGAGTCTTGGCCTCTATCAGAAAGGATGACGAAGCGATCAATACCGTTAGAATTGAGATCTGGAAACCCTGCCCTTATCATGATGCCATAGATCACAACATTGGAAGGTGCCTCGGGTTACGCTACGACGTGGAATCCATCATCAACATGAGAAAGATTCAAGTTGAGTTTGTCCCCCGTGGCTAATACGGCAGTTAGAGGAAGAAGATTTGGTGAAGGCACCATCTATCTTTTAGGAGCTTTCTTATTTGTTTTTCACTTTCCTTGTAATCAACAGAAATGAATGAAAATGAAAATTTCATTTGTATTCGAACTAAGTAGGGCCTGAATTCTCCTTGGAAGATACGTAGGCAGCCTTTCAAGGCCCGGCCCCTATCTTTTTCAAATTTTCTTTTCCCCATTTCTTATTCTACAATTTAGCCTTTCTGAGTCACTAGCCCCAAAATAAAACAAGCAAATTCCTGCTTGTTCAAAAAATCAGTCCCCATTACTCGTGGGTTAACGTGTCCTCAAACGAAGCAAATTTTATGTGTTTATCTGCTTTCTATGTGATATCTTGCATTATTCATCCAGAACTAATACTGACAGATTTGCCTTTGAGTTGTTTTCTCTACAGGTAGTTAGAACTGATATGTGTTGATACACTGGCCGATTATCCTTATTTCACTAGATCTAAAGGTCCTACAAATTCCTTCCCTAGTCAAAGTTTACAAAAGGAAAAAGCAACAATGGGTGATAACAACGAAGAAACCAGCCTTACTGATGTCGTGGTGGCTCAGCCCGCCCTTGCTGATCAGAATGAACTGATCCTGCAGTTGATGCAACAAATTGCTGAGATGAGGGTCGAGATGCAGAGAAAACAAGATTTGCCTCCTCCGATTTTTGTTGTCAACACTCAACCAGACGGAAGACCTCCAGCTCAAATTCCCCCTCCTAACGTGGACAAGCTCAAAACCCGTCTTCAAGTCCTGCTCGTAATCTCTCCATCATTGACCTTACCACCCAAAACCCTCATTATACCTCAGCCTCTTATCAAACACCACCCCCTCAAAACACCAACCTCCAAGCACCACTCCCTCCCCCTAATGCAAACCACCAAACTAGCCTACCCCCTCACAGCTAAAACGCTAATAACCCACGCACTTCCCTCATTAATCAAAACCAGTATACTAGCCCCCAGACTTTCCCCCAAAACTACCACACCCCTTTAAATGGTCAGAGTCCCTCTATCGCTCCACCACTACCACAAAAGGCCATTTTCCAAATACCGGTCCCAAACGAGCATGACGCCCCTGGTTCGGAGCTCGACCACTATGAGGAGAGAGAGAGAGTGGAGGTCAAAGGAAGAGACCGCCAAGATAGATATGAAAGAGGAAATTAAAAAAAGCCATGAAGGAGTTGAACTGCGTTCCTAAGGTCGCCGGGTTGTGTTACGAAGATCTGTGCATTCATCTGAATTGGTTCCAGGTGCCAAAATTCGACATCTTCAGAGGAACGGGAAACCCCTTAGCACACATGAGGGCCTACTATGACCAACTCGTGGGATTTGGGAGAGACAAAACTTTGTTAATGCGACTTTTTAGCCAAAGTCTGAGTGGAGAGGCTCTAGAATGGTTTACGTCTCATGAAACGAGACAGTGGTCTAGCTGGAATGCTCTGGCTAAAGACTTCATCGAACGATTTACCTACAATGTGGAGATCGTTCCTGATCGTTATTTCTTGAAGAAGATGAAACAAAAGTCGACCGAAAGTTACAGAGAATTCGCATATAAATAGCGAAAGGAGGCAGCTAGAGTTAGACCTCTCATGTCAGAAAAGGAAATTGTCGAAGTGTTTGTGCGGGTGCAAGAGCCCGAATATTATGACAGAATCATGTTGCTCGTTGGAGAAAAAATTGCTGAGATAGTCAAGGTATGTGAGACTATCGAAGATGGATTGAGAACCGGGAAGATTGCCTGTGTTGCTACCACTGCCGGATCTTCGGGCTTGTTGAAGAAGAAAAGAGATGATGTGTCCTCTATCTCTTATGAGAGGAAGAAGACCCTAAGGAAATCCTCATCATACCAAGATCGTTCTTGACCTTCACAAAGTTCATACCTGGCTTGTTACGCACAGGCTGATTACCAGAATACCCCTCCCCCCAATTATCAAAATATTATCCCTCCTAACTACCAAACTCCCCCCACTATCTACCAAACTCCCTCCAGTTTACAAGACTCCATCTCATCACTATCGAAATGCCACCCCCAACTCTGGCAACGTTCAGACAAATTACCAAACGCCTTCCCCAATGTACCAAACCCCAGCTCCACTTTACTAAAATACCCCATCAAAGTACCAAGCTCCACAACCAAACTACCAAACTAACTCATATCCCAGATATCAAGCCCCCCGTCCAAACGCTCCAAATTATAGTCAAATGCCTCCTCCGCAACAAGGCAATTACGATCCCTCCCGTCCTAGATTTGAGAAGAAGCCTGCTAGAATTTTCACTCCGCTTATCGAAAGCCACACAAAGTTGTTCGAGCGATTAACTGCGGTAGGATATATTCATCCAGTGGGTCCCAAGCCGGTTGACACTAGCTCAAAGTTTTACAGACCTAATCAGAGGTGCGCGTATCACTCCAACAGTGTTGGACATGATACTAAAGACTGTATCAACTTGAATCATAAGATTTAAGACCTGATTGACCAGAATGTGGTCTCTCTTCAGACAGTTGCGCCCAATGTCAATAGTAATCATTTGTCAAATCATGGAGGCACCACAATCAATATGGTAGAGACAGATGATGATTGGTATATGACAAAGGCAATAGTTCCGATTGCGCTTGATGAACTGGAAAAGGCCGTAGCTTCGTTGAGCATCAGAGAGAAAAAAAAGTTTGTGATTCTGAAACCCGAGAAGGTTGTTGCCTTGGTGT